TTTACGACTTTATGTGGCAGGACTGCAGAGCTTAGATCTGATCCGTTGGTTGTGGGACCACTTAGCTCTGCCTATCACTTGCTGCTTTCGCTGTTTGGCGTGCAAGTAGTCCTGTTTGGTGGCTTCACCAGGTTGATACGTCATCCTCAGGTATGCCTGGTGCTGCTCCTGGCATGTCCTCCTGCACTCTTCATTGAACCAGGGTTGATTCCCTGGCTTGATGGTAATGGTTGAGTGGGGGATATGCCGGGCCATGAGGTTACAGATTGTGCTGGAATACAATTCTGCTGCTGTTGATGGCCACAGCGCCTCATACATGCCAGTCTTGAGTTGCTTGATCTGTTTCAAGTCTGTCCCATTTAGTAGCCCACAACACGTTGGAGGATATACTCAATGTCTCCGCAATGACTTTGTCTCTGCAAGGACTGTGTGGTGATCACTGTTACTAATACTGTCATGAAGAGATGTATCTGAGCTGGCAGATTAGTAAGGATGAGGTAAAGTATGTTTTGCCCTCTTGTTGGTTCCCTCACCACCTGCCGTAGACCCAGTCTAGCAGCGATGTCCTTTACATTCTTGATTTCATTCCATTTCATTTATTACTGTCACGTGTACCGAGGTACAGTGAAAAGTGTTGTCTTATGTGCTTTACAGGCAGATCGTACTCTACAAGTGCATCAAGATAACAGAACAAGAGTGCAGGACCCAATGTTACAGCTGCTGAGAAGGTGCAGAGAGAGATCAACATTGACATTAAAGAGGTCACTTTAAAAGACTGATAATAGTGGGGAAGAAGCTGTTCTTGAATCTGTTCGTAAATGTGTACAAACTTTTATAACTTATGCTCAACAGAAGAGGCAGGAGGAGAGTATAACCAGGGTGGGAGGGGTCTTTGTTTCTGTTGATTGCTTTCCCGAAGCAGCGGGAGGTGTAAATGGAGTCAATGGTTGGGAAGCTGGTTTGCGTGATGGTCTGAGCTGTGTTCATGACTCTGTAGTTTTTTGTGGTCTTGGGAAGGGCAGTTGCCATACCACGCTGTAATGCATCCAGATAGGATGCTTTCTATAGTGCATCTATAAAAATTGTAAGCGTCTTTATGGTCATGCCGAATTTCCTTAGCCTCCTGAGGAAGTAGAGGCCTTGCTGTGCTTTCTTGATTGTAGTGACAACATGGACAGGTTGTTGATGATCGTCACTCCCAGGAACATGAAGCTCTCAACCATCCCCACTTCAGCGCCATTGATACAGACAGGGGCGTGTCCTCCACTCCGCTTCCTGAAGTCAATGACCTGCTCCTTTGTTTTGCTGATGTTGAGGAAAAAATTGTTGTCTTTACATCGTGCTGCTAAGCTCTCTATCTCCTTCCTGTACTCCGTCTCGTTGTTATTTGAAATCCGACCTCCCACGGTGGTGTTGTCAGCAAACTTAAAATTGGAGTTAGTGCAGAATTTGGCCACCCCACTGTGTGTGTCTATAAGGAGAATAGTAGGAGGCTGAGTATGCAGCCTTGTGGAGCACCAGTATTGAGGATTATGGTGGAGAAAGTGTTGTCGCCTATCCTTACTGATTGCAGTCTATAGGTCAGGAAGTCGAGGATCTAGTTACAGAGAGGGGAGCAATGACCTACATCCTGGAGTTTGAAGATGAGTTTGTTTGGAATTATGGTGTTGAAGGCAGAGCTGTAGTCACTAACTAAGAGCCTGACGTAGATATCCTTGTTATCGAGATGTTCCAGAGATGAGTGTAGGGCCAGGGAGATGGCGTCTGCTGTGAGCCTGCTGTGACGGTCAGCAAATTGTAAAGGATCAAGGCAATCTGGGAGGCTGGAGTCAATGTGAGCTATGATTGACCTCTTGAAGCACTTCATAATTATGGAGGTCAGAGCCCCTGGACGGTGGTCATTGAGGAACACTGCATGATTTTTCTTTGGCACCGGGATGATGGTGGTCTTCCTGAAGTAGGTGAGGACTTCAGATCGATTAAGGAGAGGCTAAAGATGTTTGCGAATACTCCCGCCAGCTGGTTCGCACAGGATCTGAGTGCACGGCTGGGGATTCCATCCAGGCCAGTCTCTTTCTATGGGTTTGACCTTAAGAAGGCTGATCTAATGTCTGCTTCACTCTGTAGTTTTTTGCGGTCTTGGGAAGGGCAGTTGCACACCACGCTGTAATGCATCCAGATAGGATGCTTTCTATACTGCATCTACCCACGCGGGTACAGGTGCTTCCGAGGCTTTTGGGATAAGGTGATATCGTTTCACTGCCTTTCTGCTCAAAACAAGCATTGAGCTTGTTGGATTGGGATGGTATTGTTGCCTGCGATTCTGTTCGACTTGGCTTTGTAACCCATTATGTCGTGTAAGCCTGGCCACAAATGACAAGTGTCCGTGTGGTTAGTCTGGGTCTCCAGCTTACTTTGGTATTGCCTCTGGCATCCGCAGTGGCCATATGAAGGTCGTAACTGGATTTCCTGTATAGGTCAGGGTCACCCATCTTGTAAACCACACACCTGAACGTCGATAGGGAGTGGATCGTGATTCATCTGTAGTTTCAGGCTGATGAACGTTCGGGTTAATTTCCTCATCACACAGTCATCTACACAATTACTAATGAAGTCTGTGGCAGTAGTGGCATACTGGTTTAGGTTGACCACTGAGTTCTTGAATATGGACGAGTCCACTGACTCTGAGCAGTCCCATAGAAGCCCTTCCATTGCCTCAGACCAATACCGCTCTACTTTCTGTACTGGGTCCTCATGCTTCAATTTCTGCTTGTATACCTAGAGGAGGAGCACAGCATTGTGGTCTGATTTTCCAAAATGCGGACATGTGAAGGAGAGGTAGGCATCTTTTATGGTTGTGTAGCAATGGTCAAGGATGTTCGGACCTCTGGCGAGACAGGAGATGTGTTGGTGGAATTGTGGTAGCACACTCTTGAGGTTGGCCTGGTTTAGGACCTGACCAGCTAGATCAGTAGTGCTGCTGCTGCAGAGCCATTCCTGGTGGTGGACATTGAAATTCCCCACCGAAAGGACATTTTTCACCTTTCCACCCCCAGTACTTCCTCCAAATGTTGTTCAAGGTGGAAGAGTACTAAGTTATCAGCTGAGGGATGACGGTACATGGTAATCAGCAAGATTCGTCCATGTTTAAGCTGAAGACTTGAGACTTCATGGGATCCAGAGTCAATGTCGAAGACTCCCAAGGTAACACCGTCCTGACTGTATAGCACTGTGCCTCCAGGTCTGCTGGGTCTGTCCTGCCGGTGAGACAGGACATATCCAGGGATGGTGATGGTGGTGTCTGGGACATTATCTGTAAGGTATGATTCTGTGAGTATGACTATGTCAGGCTGTTGCTTGACGAGTCTGTGAGACAGCTCTCCCAATTTTGGCACTAACCCCCAGGTGTTAGTGAGGAGAACTTTGCAGGATCAACACAGCCATTTTTGCTGTTGTCTTTTCTGGTGCCTAGATTGATGCCAGGTTGTCGGTCCGGTTTCATTTCTTTGAGACTTTGTAGCAATTAGTACAACTGAATGGCTTACTAGGTCATTTCAGAGGGCAATTGAGAGTCAACCACATTGCTGTGGGTCTGGAGTCACATGTAGGCCAGACCAGGTGAGGATGGCTGTTTCCTTCCCTGAAGGGTACCAGTGAGCCAGTGGGGTTTTTTTTTAACAACAATCGACAATGGTTTCATGTTCGTCAGTAGATTCTTAATTCCAGATTTTTTTTTGTTGAATTCAAATTTCACCAACTGTCGTGGCAGGATTCGAACCCCGGTCCCCAGACATTAACTGAGTTTCTGGATCAATACTGTAGTGATAATGTCACTAGGCTATCGCCTTCCCCGACTGGAAGTGGACAGTCTGTGGTGAGTGTCTGGGAGTGGACAGTCTGGTGAGAGTCTGGGAGTGGTCAGTCTGGGAGTAGTCAGTCTGTGGTGTGGTCCTGTGATTGATGGTCTGTGAGTGAGGGTCTGTCAGTGGGTCTGGGAGTGAAGATCTGGGAGTGGTCAGTCTGGGAGTGGTCAGTGTGTGGTATGGGTCTGGTAGTGGTCAGTCTGGGAGTGGCCAGTCTGGGAGTGGTCAGTCTGGGAGAGGCCAGTCTGGGAGTGGTCAGTCTGTGGTGTAGGTCTGGGAGTGGTCAGTCTGGGCATGGTCAGTCTGTGGTGTGGGTCTGGGAGTGGTCAGTCTGGAAGTGGTCAGCCTGGAAGTGGCCAGTCTGGGAGTGGTCAGTCTAGGAGTGGCCAGTCTGGGAGTGGTCAGTCTGGGAGTCGTCAGTCTGGGAGTGGTCAGTCTGTGGTGAGGGTCCAGGAGTGGTCAGTCTGTGGTGAGGGTCTGGGCATGGTCAGTCTGGGAGTGGCCAGTCTGGGAGTGGCCAGTCTGGGAGTGGTCAGTCTGTGGTGAGGTTCTGGGCGTGGTCGGTCTGGGAGGGCCAGTCTGGGAGTGGTCAGTCTGGGAGTGGCCAGTCTGGGAGTGGCCAGTCTGCAGTGAGGGTCTGGGAGTGGTCAGTCTGGGCGTGGTCAGTCTGTGGTGTGGGTCT